TGGAGAAGAGGGTCGGTGGCGAGCCAGCGGGGGGAAGTGAGAAGGAGAAGGCTTAGCTCGGGCGTGTCCCCCTACAGGGGGATTTTGCGCGAAAAATCAAAATGCCCCCAAAAATACTCCCAATATGCTCAAAGATGGTCCAAATATCGTCACCTGACTATGTTTAAAACTATTTTTGAGTGTTCCCCCTGTAGAGGGACGCTCATGGTCCAAATATCGTCCCCAGACTATGTTTAAAACTATGTTTGAGTGTTCCCCCTGTAGAGGGACGGGCCCGACTTCAGAGCAGGCCCTCTTCTCGGGAAGTCTCAGAGCACTTCTCAGAAGGCCGGGGGGGGACTTCCGAGCCCTCTGAGCGGGCCTTCTCCGTGTCGCTTCCCCCCCCTCGCTCGCCGCCGAGAGGGGGGCCCTGAAACCTGGGCGCCCATCGTGGACGAGCCAACAACACACACCCGTACCCATAGGGGGGGTCGGAGAGGGCTGTGGGTGCGTGTTGTCGGAGGGGGGTCCCCGCTCGAAAGGAAGCGTTCCCCAGGGTCCGACAACCCGCACCTATACCCACAGCCAGACCTCCTCCCAACGACCCCCGTATGGGTGCGGGTGTGTGCTGTTCTCGGGGACCTTCTGACCCGGGTCGATCCAGACCCGGGTCAGTCAGGCCTTGCAGAATCCTGCAAGATCCTGCAAGATCCTGCAAGATCCTGCAAGATCCTGCACCCAAACCAGGGTCAGTGCGAAGGATCCTGCAAGATCCTGCAGGATCCTGCACCCAACCCCCGGTAAATGCGACCCTGGCCCTGCAGGATCCTGCAGGATCGGGCGCTCTGGCTGACCCCCGAGGACTGTCTATGGGTATGGGTGCGGGTTGTCGGACCCTGGGGAACGCTCCCGTTCGAGCGGGGACCCCCATCCGACAACACGCACCCATAGCCCTCTCCGACCCCCCCTATGGGTTATGGGTGTGTGTCGTTGGTTCGTCATTTCTCGCCACATGACCAAGGATGCTCCTCGAGGGTCCTCGCCGAAGGAAAGATGCACACGTCCGAGCGATGCCGAGGGAGGAGGGAGGAGGGAGGAGGGAGGAGGGAGGGAGGAGGAGGAGGGGAGGGAGGAGGGGAGGAGGGAGGAGGAGGGGGGAGGAGGGGGGAGGGGGAGGAGGGGGGGGAGGAGGGGGGAGGGGGGGAGGAGGAGGAGGGGGGAGGGGGAGGGAGGAGGGAGGAGGGAGGAGGGAGGAGCTCCCCACCGCCGCCGACGCCCGGCGGCCCTCGGGCCACAGCGCGGGCCTCCGGCGGGGCCGCTCGGGACGAGCCGGGCACCCCGGGAGGGGGAGGCCCTCGACGGGGCGCGGCCGCCGGAGAGAGACATCCCGAGGCGAGAGCCGCCGAGAACCACGGGAAGCCGCCTCCCCCCGAGGAGGAGGAGGAGGGAGGAGGAGGAGGAGGAGGAGGGAGGAGGAGGAGGAGGAGGAGGAGGAGGAGGAGGAGGAGGAGAAAGAGGAGGCGGAGGAGGAGGAGGAGGAGGAGGAGGAGGAGGAGGAGGAGGAGGCCCTCCCCTTCGGCGATGATGCCCCCCGCCCCGGGCCCTCCTTTTTCCGACCACCCCCCGCCTCCCCTGGTGGTGTGGCAATCGACCCTAAAAAAACCTATTGCCCAAATTGGACAACAATTGGCAACTCGCTGTCGCTGCGTCGTTATCTGCGAGTCGCGTCTACATTGCAGAGCGGGGGGACTGGGAAGGGCATACCACTCCTTGACAAAAACCTTGCCCCAATTCATGGCCGCCGCTATCGCCGCAGCGAACTCCAAAACCGACCCGAAATTTGGTTCGGGGTCGGATACCAAGCAACTTGGGAAACCGCAAGGTACTGATACCGCTAATCCCTGGACATCTCCAAGGGTGCGCTCTTGCTAGAACGTCGAAGCAATTCCAGCGGCGGCGACGAGGGCCTCTTGGGAGGGCCAAGAACGAGGAAACGAGGCAAGGATGGCGGTATTGGTACCTGTTTCTCCTCCGAGCAACGATCCCCCTCCGATCTGGGAGCGAGAAGCCACGCTCCCGTGGGGGATCCACTGACCCAGGTCAATCCAAACCAGAGTCAGTCGGGCATTGCAGGCTCCTGCAGGATCCTGCACCTAAGCCCGGGTCAGTGCGCCCCTGGATCTTGCAAGATCCTGCACCTAAGCCCAGGCCGCTGCAGGATCCTGCAAGATCCGGCGCTCTGACGGACCTCCGCTTGTATGGACGCCTCTTGGGCCGTCGTGGGCCGTCTGAAGGCCGAACCGGCGCGACGACAAAATCCGCCGAAAATCGGAGGAACATCGACGGGCTTGGCCTCTTCGAGCCTTCCTGGAGGACCTCACGTGGGGGCCTCTCGGGCCGTCTTGGAGCCCCGCCCCTGGGGTTAGGTCGGGCTTGTCCCCCTACAGGGGGATTGTCGACGAAAAATAAAAAAAAACAAAAAATATCCCAAAAATAAACAAAAAATACTCCAAAAATACTCCCCAGGCTATTTTTGGACATTTTTTATAATTTCAGGGGTATTTTTATGTCTCGTCGAAAAAATCCCCCCTTGTAGGGGGACAGGCCCGACCTAACCCTGGGGCCCCGAGCCTCGGGCCCTCGGCCGCGCGCTCCCGAGGCAGCCAGGGGGGAGAAAGAGCAGGGGGAGGCACGCGCGAGGACCGCGAGCCGCGGGAGCCAGGCCGGAGGAGTGGCGGCCGGTCGTCGTCGTCGTCGTCGTCGTCGTCGTCGTCGTCGTCGTCGTCGTCGTCGTCGTCGTCGTCGTCGTCGTCGTCGTCGTCGTCGTCGTCGTCGTCGTCGTCGTCGTCGTCGCCGGCGTCGGCGTCGTCGCCGGCGTCGTCGTCGTCGTCGTCGTCGTCGTCGTCGTCGTCGTCGTCGTCGTCGTCGTCGTCGTCGTCGTCGTCGTCGTCGTCGTCGCCGGCGTCGGCGGCGGCGGCGGCGGCGGTGGCGGCCGATCGTCGCCGCCGATCGTCGCCGTCGTCGTCGTCGGCGTCGTCGTCGGCGTCGGCGTCGTCGTCGTCGGCGTCGTCGGCGGCGGCGTCGGCGTCGGCGTCGGCGTCGGCGTCGGCGTCGGCGGCGTCGTCGGCGTCGTCGACGTCGTCGGCGGCGGCGGCGTCGGCGATGGCGGCGGCATTGGCGTCGGCGTCGTCGGCGTCGTTCTGGCCCTGAGGACTGGCAAACAAAATTGAACCCGAAACTTTGCACTGAGCCTGTCCCCCCCTAATGTTGCCCCCGACCATCGGGCGGGCGGAGGAGGAGGTGGAGGAGGTGGAGAAGGAAGAGGACGTGGAGGAGGCGGGGGAGGTGGCGGAGGAGGAGGAGGTGGAGGAGGAGCAGGAGGAGGCGGAGCAGGCGGAGGAGGAAGAGGCGGGAGGACGCGGAGGAGGCATGGGAGGAGCAGGGGGGACGTGGAGGGGGCGGACGAAGAGGAGGACGACGACGAAGAGGAGGAGGAAGAGGAGGAAGACGAAAAACGCTCGCTGGGCGGCGGGACCCCTCGGCGCGCGCAACGCCCGCGCGGCGTTGCCGCGCCGCTGCGCCGGGCAGCCCGCAGGGCAGCCCGCAGGGCGCGCGGGCGCAGGCCGGCAGGCAGCGCGCCGCCGCGGCCACGCGGCGGCGCAGCGGCCCCGGCGGCGGCCCCTGCGGCGCGGCGCGGCGGCCGCGCGGCGGGCGCGGCAGCGCGGCAGCGACGCGGCGACGGCCGGCGGCGCCGCCAGCGCGGCGGCGGCGGCGACGGCGCGGCGGCGGCGGCGGGGACGACGACGATCGCTGCGGCGGCGGCGGCGGCGGGGCGACGACTGCCGGCGGCAGCGACGGCCGGCGGCGGCGAGGAGGGAGGGCCTCTTCCCCTGGGCAGGGGCGGCCGACCGGCGGACGACGCCCAGTGGGAAGGTGAGCACTTCTGGGTCACCGTCAGCCCGACGGGCGGAGATGGTGCCGAGAAGACGTCGCCTCGTAGTGGTGATGATGAGGAAGACGAGGGAGGGAGGGAGCAGAAGGGAGGGGAGAAGAGTAGAGCAATCCGCAATGGTTGTGCCCGCTGGGGCGCAGAGTCCGCACATTGACTCGGGATGCTCCCCAGAGACGCGTGCGCCTTGAGGGCTGCGCAAAGCAGGGCAAGATATTGAATGGGAATGCGACGTGTGACAATGAGAAAGTGCAGCCTGGGTTGCCCCGGGCGCAAAGGCGTCTCTGTGACACTCCCACATGCAAGCAAAGAGTAGGAGGGGGGAGAAGCGGAGAGGGGCGTGCAAGGAGCAGAGGGCTGACAGCAAAGAGCAGGAGGGAGGCAGCAGAGGAAGGAAGGAAAAGGGAGGATGAGGGAAGAAGGCGGAGGGGGCAGGAAGCAGGAGGAACGGGGACGGAGGAGGGATGGGAGGATGAGGGGGAAGAAAGACTAGGAGGATGAGGACGAGACCAAAGATGGAGGGGAGAGTGTGGCTGGAGGGCAAGGATGAGGATCCTATGGTTTGTTCGTGCCAGCGGCCACCGCCGGCAGCGAGGAGGGCGCGCGCCCTGCTCCCGAGGCACCCTGTAAGAGGCCGGCGGCAGCAGCAGCAGCGGGCGGGCGGCCTGGCGCCGCACCGCCGACGAGGCGCGCCGGACTTGGCTTGCGGGCACGATGTTTATCCATACCCACTGCGCCCAGATGGATAAAACAAGTTCGCTCCTGGAGGTCAGATGTTGATCCATGTCCACTGCGTCGTGGCGATTCGGGCTCCCTCCCTCCGATCTCAGGGGCGCCGTGGACATAGGCTGAACAAGTTCGCCCCTGGAGGTCCGATGGTTATCCATGTCCACTGCGTCTTGGAGTTTCGGGCTCCCTTCCTCCGACCTCAGGGGCGCCGTGAGCATGGATAAAACAACTTCGCCCCTGGAGGTCCGATTGTTTTCATATCCACTGCGCCGCGGCCTGCTGGCGCCCCTTCCCAGAAAGTCCAAAACGCAGTGGATATGGATATAAATCGTGCCCACATTTTTTACTGGAAGCCAGCGGCAAAAACGAGGGAGGGAAGGCGAGATGAGATAGACAAGCGCGTTCCACGACTCGCAAAGAACTGCTCGCAAATGGCCTGGATCCGCCGTGGGCGACTTACGATCTATCACATCGAGGCCAACACATGTGTTTTTGTCGGACGGCTGCGAGCAGGCACTTTGCGAGTACCCGGTGAAGGGAGGAGAGGCGAGGGGAGAGTAGCAGAGGAGGGAGGAGAGAGAATCGACCAGGCTCGACGAGAGGGCAGGACGGCAAAGGACAGGGCAGAGAATCAGCTCGCGCAACTCGGGATCGGCCAAGAGGGGGGTGTCCAAGAGGGGGTGGGGGGGGGGGGGGGGCAAATCATGACCGGCGGCACGTGGGCGGCCCAGCAAGGGGGCCAGGGACGCAAGGAGATAAGAAGCGGCGGCAGGAAGTCTGGGGAGATATCATGGCCCCCGCCATGACATCCACCCCCCCTAGTCAGCACCCCCCCCCTTTGCCCCCCCCTAGTCAGCACCCTGGTTGGCCCGGCGCCCCCCGGCGCGCCGGGGAGGCGCCCGTGCATATATCGGAGCAGGAACCCGGCGGCGGAGCGGGAAGCAGCCGCCTGCCGCAGACTTCGCACACACACACACACACACACACACACACACACCCGGCCCTGTCCTGCCCTTTGCGTCCGGCCCGAGGGGGGGGCAGGAGGGCGCGAGGATTGGGTTTGAGTCGGGCCTGTCCCCCTGCAGGGGGATCTGGGGCGAACAATTACATGAATACTCAAAAAAATACTCCCTGCATGCTCAAAAATGGTTTTAAAAATAGTCCCCAGACTATGTTTTGGCTATTTTTGAACCTTCCTCCTGTAGAGGGACAGGCCCGACTTAAGATTCGGTCGGGCGTGTCCCCCTACAGGCGGATTCTGAAGGAAAGGAACAACAAAAAATAGTATTGGAAAAAGTCCCCCGACTATTTTCTAACTATTTTGTGCAACATTCCTCCCGTAGGGGGACAGGAGGCCCGACTTGGAGCGAGGAGCGAAGGGGGGGAGGCGCGGGCGGAAGGAGCAGGGCAGAGGTGAGCCCCGTGCCGGCCCCATCGGCGTGCGGCTTAGGGAGCTTCCTCTTCCAACCCCCCCGTCTTCCCCCTCGGGGAGGAGTCGATCACGGTTCCCTATGCTTAGGGCGGGCATGTCCGCCTGTGGGAGCTTGGGCGGAAGATCAAAAAGATTCCAAAAAAAGATTCAACAATAGCCAAAAAGCAATGTTCAGACAACGTCCCCATACTATGTTTCGGCTATGTTTGAACTTTCCCCTGTAGAGGGACAGGTCCGACCCCTTCGGGGAGAGGTTGATCACTGCCCCCTATGAAATATACACCCCCTCCCCCACCTGGCCGGCGGCCAACCCGGAACCATGCCAACCCCACGCGGGTCACCTCCCCACCATCCCTGTCAAACAACAATACAAAACGCACTCTGCCTCCACATTCGGAGCATGCGCGGCCAACCCGATGCGGCCCCCCGCCACCATCCCTGTCCAAGAACAATACACAGTACACTGTGGGGCAAAGTCTTGAGTCATGTGTCATGTTCGTGAGGCCCACGAACACTTTCCATTGTTTTTGACAGGGACGGCGGGGAGGGTCAGCATATTCCCTGCTGCGCGCAGGGCTACCATCCCTGACAAAAAAAAAGTGCACCTCGCGGCTAAATTTGGATCATGCGCGGCCACCCCGCGATCACTATCAAGTGGTTTTTGACAGGGACCGCGGACGTGGTGGCGTATGGCCTGCTGTGCGCAGGCCCACCAGAAACAATGATGGGCATTGGTTTTCGATAAGGATGGTGGGGGCCGACATGTCTCCCGGTGCGTGCTGTCACGTGCGCAGGCGCACCTGACACACTCTGCACGTGCCTCAAACGTGACGCACCTGGCGCGGCTGGAGTATACAGCTCACCCGGCGCACGTGGAACACGTGGCGCATCTGGTGCACCAGACGTGTACCTATGCGTTGGGAGGGCGGGCGGGAATGAGCTAGACGGCTTGCTGGCGGGTGGGTAGCTTGACCCCTCCCCCTATCCGACTGGACCTGGGCGGGGCGCCCCGCGACCGATTAGAATGCCCCAGAAGGCCTCGGGGAGAAGGCAAAAATCATTGGTTTTGCTTGGGTTTGGGCCCATTTCGGCCTACTGGGAAGGGAGAATAGAATGGAACATGGTACCCTCCCTTCTTGGATCGATCTCCACGACGGCCCCGAGATGGCCCCCGAGGCTCGCCAGAGTGCCCCACGAGGGCCCCAGAAGGCCTCCAAGAGGTCCCCAAGAGGCTCTCGAGAGAACCCCAAGCGGCCCCAGAAAGGCTCCCCCGAGGCACCCAAGACGCTCAAGAGGCCGCCGGGACCGCCAAGAGGACCCCAAAACGCTCCAAGAGGGCTCGCAGAAGCTTTCAAGAGACATCCGAAGAGACTCAGAGAGGCATCCAAAAGGCCTCTGGCCATTCTGCTCGCCCTCCTCCTCCTCCGGCTGTTCCCCCTTTTCACCCTCCCCCTCCCCCTCCTCCTCCGAATCCTTCCCCGCTTGGGGTTTAATGGCTTCCCCAGCCCACTGCTCCACTGCACGCTCTTCCACGTCCCTGATCAGGGCAATGCGGCTGGGCATCGTTTCTGAATGGGCTGGTGGGGCTACGCGAAGCGTCCAGGTACCCGACGGGAAAGACCGAAAACCTCCAGCGTCGACCCTGGAGCCTCGGAGGGAGCTCTGCAGCAGAGGTCTCCCAAATGGGGTCCGAGCAGATGAAGTCGGAGGGTCGCGCCGCATCGCCGATGCATCGGCAGCGTCGGCGGTGCATCGGCGGCGTCGGCGTGGAGAAAATCGGGCTTCACATCCAGTCGCATCGCCAACGCATCGGCGATGCGGCGCGGTCCTCCGACCCCATCTACTCTGGATGGGACAATAATCGCCCCCCCTCGGATCCGCGGGGGGGAGGCACGTGCTGTTGGATCGGGCGAAGGGGGGTTGGAGGAGGCACGGAGGAGGAGGAGGAGGAGGAGGAGGAGGAGGAGGAGGAGGAGGAGGAGGAGGAGGAGGAGGAGGGGGGGGGATGGCCCAGCTCCGTCGGAGGGTCAACCGCCCCTGCCCCATCCAGGGCACCCGAATCCCACCCGAGGGGCGGCCTAGATCGCAAGGGGGCCCTAGGGGAGGGGAGGGGCGGGGCGGCTCCCGAACCCGCGCCGCGGGGGCGGCGCCGGCCGCCGGCCCGGGCGCCCGCGGGGGGGCGGGAGGCGGTCACTGCTTCAGCAGCTCCGCGGCGGCCTCGAGGGCGGCCTTCGGGTCCGCGCCCACGGCCTCCCCGTAGATCTTCACCTCCGGGGGTGACGCTGGCGATGACGATCGACGTCATGACGATGACGATTGACGTCCTGACGATGACATTGACGATCGACGTCATGACGATGACATTGACGACCGACGTCATGACGTCATGACGGTGACGTCCTGACGATGACGACTGACGTCATGACGATGACGACGATCGTCAATCGCCATCGTCAGAACCAGGAAAGGCGACGCCCTCGAGGGCGAGGCCTCGGACGAGGCCGGGACCGGGACAAGGTCGGGCCGGGACATGTCGGGGACCTCTGGGCTGCGGATGGAGGCGCCGCCAGGGGGCTCCCGGCGCGGATCCGAGAAACCCGCGCGGAGCGCCAGAAAGTGCATGTTTATGTATTTGCTTTTCCTTCTTCGATGCTTGTGTCTGGCTGTTTTTGTTCCCCCTCCTGAAGCACGCAGAGGCACGCGCAGCCAGCTCCAGGCGCGGGGGGGGCGGGGCCCCTGCGCCCGGGGTGCCCCCCCGCGCGGCGCCGGCCCGCCAAGGGTCCGCAGTGCCCACCTGCTCTGCCCCCCCCCTCCCACGGGGCCTGCACTGCCCTCGCCGTCGCCGTCGCCGTCGCCGTCGCCGCCGCGTCGTCGTCGTCGTCGTCGTCGTCGTCGTCGTCGTCGTCGTCGTCGTCGTCGTCGTCGTCGTCGTCGTCGTCGTCGTCGTCGTCGTCGTCGTCGTCGTCGTCGTCGTCGTCGTCGTCGTCGTCGTCGTCGTCGTCGTCGTCGTCGTCGTCGTCGTCGTCGTCGTCGTCGTCGTCGTCGTCGTCGTCGTCGTCCCTGGCCCAAGGTGCCCCCAGCATTCCGCTCCATGCCGAAGTCCCTGTGGCCCCCTGGGCCTCGTGAGGGGTGCTCTGGAGGCCGTGGGAGCCTCCTCGGACATCCCGGGAGCACCTCGGGCCAGGGGCACTTCTAGCAACACCCGACAGAAGGAGGGGATCGATCGATCTCGATCGGCAGATCGATCGTCGATCTCACCCTGCAGGGGGGGGGGGGGGGGCGCCTTCGGCTCCGTGCCGCTCGGCCGGATCTGCACGCGCACGCCGGCACCGCCCTCCTCGCCGAGCCACAGCCGCAGCAGGTTTGCTTCGGGGAAAGCGCGCACGGCGGCGACTTTCATGCCCGCGACCTTGCCGCGGCGGCAACGGCGGCGGCGAGGCGAACCAACCGACGACGACGGCGACGATGACGAGGAGAGCTTCATGCTCGCGACCTGGGCGACGGTGGCGAGGCGAAGCAGACGACGAGGGCGACGACGAGGGCGAGGGCGCGGCAGGAGGGAAAGCGAAGAGAAAGGGGAGGGGGAGGGGGGGAAGGGGAGGGGGAGGGGGGGGAGGATGAGAGGCTAGAAGAGGAGACCAAGAGAGGGGGAGGTGAAGGGCAGGAGGCGGAGGACGACGATGAGGACGAAGAGAATGAAAGAGGACAACGACGTACGCACCCTTCCTCCGTATTCGCGCTCATCCTCGTCGTCGTGTTCGCCCTCACCCTCGCCCGCACCCTCGCAATCGCCGTCGCAGTCGCTCGCCGTCGTCGTCGTCTCCATCGTCTCCATCGTCTCCATCGTCTCCGTCGTCTCCGTCGTCACCGTCGTCGTCGTCGGCGTCGTCACCGCCCGCCGTCCTCGTCGTCGTCGACGTCGCCGTCGCCTGCCATCGTCGTCGTCGTAGTCTTCATCACCACTGCCGCCGAAACCCCCGCCGCCGCCGTCGTCATCGTTCTCCGCCAGTGTACATGAACAGCGCAACAAACACCAGTTGCCAATGTTCCTTCTCTTCCTCCTCCTCCTCCTCCTCCTCCTCCTCCTCCTCCTCATGCTCCTTCTCCTCCTCCTCCTCCTCCTCCTCCTCCTTCAGCTCCTCCTACTCCTGATCCTCATCTTCATCCCCCTCCTCCTCTTCCTCCTCCTCATCATCACTGTGCTCATCATGCTCATCACTATCATCATCAGCAGCAGCAGCATCATCATCAGCAGCATCATCATCAACATCATCATGATCGCCATCATCATTAGCAGCAGCATCCACTTTTCTTTCTCGTCCTTCGCGTCCCTCGTCGTCGACGTCGTCATCGCTGTCGCTGTCGCCGTCGCCGTCGCCGTCGCCATCGTCACCGTCGCCGTCGCCGTCGCCGTCGCCAGCCGTCGTCGTCGTCATCACTGCCGCCACCACAACCGCCGCGGCTGTCAGCGTCGTCTCCGCCAGTGTCAAGGAATAGCGCAACATACGCCAGTGGCCGTCTTCCTTCCTGTCCTCCTCCTACTTCGTCGTCGTCGTTGTCGCCGTCGCCGTCGCCGCCCCCTTCGCCTGCCGTCGTCGTCGTAGTCGTCATCATCAATGCCGCCGCCACCAACCACCAACGCCGCCGCAGTCGTCTGCGCCCGTGTTAAAAGAACAGCCGCAATACACCAGAGTAGCCACCTTCCTGCCCCTCCTCCTCCTCATCATCCTCCTACACCTCTTCCTCCTCCTCCTCCTCCTCCTCTTCCTCCTCCTCCTCCTTCTCATCCTCCTCCTCCTCCTCCCCCCTCGTCGTCGTGATCGTCGTCGTCGTCGCCGTCATCGTCGTCGCCGTCGCAGTCGCCATCGCCTTCGCCGCCGCCGCCGCCGCCGTCGCCGTCACCGTCACCGTCGTCGTCGTCGTCGTCTGTCGTCTGTCGCCGTCGAAGTCGCCGTCGCCGTCGCCGTCGCCGTCGCCGTCTCCGCCGTCGTCGTAGTCGTCAGCATCACTGCCGCCGCCATCAACCACCAACGTCGCCGCAGTCGTTGTCTCCGCCGTGTAAGAGAACAGCGCACAATACACCAGAAGCCGTATTCCGTCCCCTCATCCTCATCTTCCTCCTCCTCCTCATGTTCCTCCTCCTCGTCCTCCTCCTCCTCCACCTCATCTTCCTCCTCCTCCTCCTACTCCTTGTTCCTCATAGTCCTTTTCCTTCTCCTCCTCCTCCTCTTCCTCCTCCTCGGTCCCGTTTTCGTCCTCCTCCTCCTCCTCCTCCTCCTCCTGTTCCTCCTCATCCTCCTCCACCTCCTCCTCCTCTTCCTCCAGCCCAGTTCAGAACTCCGAAAAATGAGAAAGGCCCCCCCACGCACACACAAACACACACACACACAATTTCGGGCATCGTACATATCATTGCAGTTACGGTGGGAGCAGGAGGGCCGTGCGCCGCCAGGTGTTGGCGGGAGCAACGATGAACTGGCTGCCCTCCCATGTCGCAGCACCCCACCCTTGTGCACCGAGCTACCTCAACGAGTCTTCTAGTGCTGAGGATGCTGCGGACTATGCAAGGGCTCCCAACTTCGCGCTTCGCGCTGCGCGAAGCGCGAAGTGCGAATAACTTCGCGCTCTCGCGCCGCCTCCCAGGGGAGACGAGGAGGATGAGGGATCGGAGCCGAACCGCGAAGCGCGAAGCGCGAAGAACTTCGCGACCTCGAGGGCGTGCTTTACTATACTTCTACTGGCATGCGCGTGCAACATCGGATGGGTTATGCTGGACGTGCCGTTCGCGAACTACTTGAGCGGCATCATCGTTGCTGTCCTGGCATGTTGGTGCGCACGGTGTCTATGGATTGCAAAATCGTACTTCTTGGATCGACCACTTTGCTATACCTACTGGGATGCGGCCTTGGATGACGAAGTGCCTGACTATGGCGCGGCTCGCGCGACAACTTCACTTCTCACACCAGCAGTGCTCATTTCCGAAGCGCACAGGCCCTCATTTTTCCCAGCCAGCTGGTGGGGTCAAACTTCGTGTGCCCGATGGCGGCGGCTGCACGCACCAACTCTTCCTTCCTGGTTGCCCTTCTGGTGATTGTTACCTCGACGACGGTGTGATGGCCTGACTGGAGTGGTGATTCACGACCTGGCTCTCCTACATAAGGCGATATGTCCTGTCCGCCTCCGCTTTTGTCTACTACTTCCTCCCTGTGGTGCTGTACGGCTTGCGCCTGGTCCCGAACCAGGTTTGGAGATGCTGCCGCTGCTGTTGCTCATCCTTCCCTCCTCCTGAAAACATGTTATCAATCAGCTGGTAATCCGTCCGTGTAGACTGTCGTGCCCCATCCATCGTTGCGATGGTTCCTCAGGGCTTGCGCTAAGCCTGCTGGGGCCTACCTAGGCCCTCCTGTGTTTCTCTGGGTCGCCCCAGCTTCGGCTGGCAGCCGTGACATTATTTCATCGGGTCGTTTTCCGGAAGCCCGTTCCATCTGCACGTCAAGAGCGATTACGTTCTAAGTTTGTGTCGTAGGCCATCTGCTGGTCCTGCCCTGCCGCGGACTTTCAACTTCGCACACGGCGCGCCTCGATGACGCGTTATTAGTATGTTCATGTGAATAAAGACTACGATTAGTATTCATAGTACTAATAGCAACATCCTGCTTATCAGTACTAGTAGTACTAGTAGTAGTAGTAGTAGTAGTAGTAGTAGTAGTAGTAGTAGTAGTAGTAGTAGTAGTAGTAGTAGTAGTAGTAGTAGTAGTAGTAGTAGTAGCAGTAGTAGTAGTAGTAGTGGTAGTAGTAGTAGTGGTCGTTAGTAGTAAGTGGTAGTGATGATCAGTACGTTACTAGTAGTAGAGTGTAGTAGTGGGGGAGTAGTAGTAGTAGTTGTAGTAGTAGGTTGTAGTTAGTTGTACTAGACTTAGTGCTAGTACTTAGTATAATCATAGGTAACTACATAGTACTAGTAGTAGTAGAGTAGTAGTGTAGTTGTTGTTGTAGTGGTAGTAGTAGTAGTATTAGTATCTAGTAGTAGTAGTTCGTAGGAGTAGGAGTAGTTGTGATTGTAGTAGTAATAGTAGTAGTAGTCGTCGTAGTTCGTAGTCGTTAGTCGTAGTCGTAGTAGTAGTAGTAGTAGTCGTAGCGGTAGTAGTAGTAGTTGTGTAGTTCATTTATAAAGTAGTATTCATTGTACGTAGCAGCATTTTGCTTATCAGTACTAATATCAGTAGTAGTAGTAGTAGTAGTAGTTAGTAGTAGTAGTATTAGTAGTAGTTAGTAGTAGTAGTAGTAGTAGTACTAGTAGTAGGTAGTAGTAGTGTAGTAGTAGTAGTAGTTTAGTAATAGTAGGAGTACTAGTAGCATTAGTAGTAAGGTAGTAGTGTAGTTAGTAGTAGCAGTAGCAGTAGTACTAGTAGTAGTAGTAGTAGTAGTAGTAGTAGTTAGTAGTTGTAGTAGGATTAGGGTTTAGGAGTTAAGTAGGTTGTAGTTAGTAGTAGTAATTGTAGTAGTAATAGTAGTTGTAGTCGTCGTAGTCGTAGTCGTAGTCGTAGTCGTAGTCGTAGTCGTAGTCGTAGTCGTAGTCGTAGTAGTGGTAGTAGTAGTAGTAGTAGTAGTAGTCGTCGTAGTAGTAGTAGTGGTAGTAGTAGTAGTAGTAGTAGTAGTAGTACTAGTAGTAATAGAAGTAGTAGTAGTAGTAGTAGTAGAAGTAGTAGTGGTAGTGGTAGTGGTAGTGGTAGTAGTAGTAGTACGAATGGTAACAGTAATAGCCGTAGAAGCAGTAGCAGTAGCAGCAGTAGTAGTAGTAATAGTTGTAGTAGTAGTAGTAGTAGTCGCCGTCGTAGTAGTAGTAGTAGTCGTAGTAGTAGTAGTAGTAGCAGTAGTAGTAGTAGTAGTAGCACTAGTAGTAGTAGTAGCAGTAGTTATAGTCGTAGTGTAGTAAATAGTAGTAGTAGTAGTAGTAGTGGTAGTAGTATAGTAGTAGTAGTAGTAGTAGTAGTGGTAGTGGTAGTGGTAGTAGCACTGGTAGAAAGAATAACCGTAGTAGTAGCTGTAGTAGTAATAGTAGTAGTAGTAGTAGTAGTAGTAGTAGTAGTAGTAGTAGTAGTAGTAGTAGGAGTAGCAGTAGTAGTAGTAGTAGTAGTACTAGTAGTACTAGTAGTAGTAGTAGTAGTGGTACTAGGTGGTGGTGGTAGTTGTACTTGTTACTACTAATATTACTGGTATTCCTCCTTCTCCTCCTCCTGCTCCTCCTTCACCTCGTCCTCCTCCTCCTCCTCCTCTTCCTCTTCCTTCTCCTCCTCCTCCTCCTCCTCCTCTTCCTCATCCTCCTCCTTCTCCTCCTCCTCCTCCTCTCTCCACTCCCCCCCCTCCTCCTCCTCCTCTCCTCCTCTTCCTCCTCCTCCCTCCTCCTCCTCCTCCTCCTCCTCCTCCTCCTCCTCCTCCTCCTCCTCTTCCTCCCCCCTCGTCGTCGTCGCCGTCGCCGTCGACGTCGCCATCGCCCACCGCCGTCGCCGTCGTAACCGTCGTCGTCGTCGACGTCGCCATCGCCCGCCGTCGTCGTCGTCGTCGTCGTAGTCGTCGTAGTCGTCATCACTGCCGCCGCCGCCGCGGCCGTCGTCCTCCGCCAGTGTGAAGGAACAGCGCAACATACACCAGTAGCCATCCATCCCCTCCTTTTCCTTGAACTCCTCCTCCTCCTCCACTTTCTTCTCCTCCGTCGTCGTCGACGTCGTCGTCGTCGACGACGTCGTCGTCGCCGCCGCCGTCGCCGTCGCCATCGCCGTCGCCGTCGCCGTCGCCGTCGCCACCGTCGCAGGACCTCGCTGGGCGGGTCCTTGCGCAGCCGCGCCACCGCCGCCGAGCCGGCAGCGGGGTCCATCCTCGCAGAGCCGAAGAGAGGCGACACGCACCGGCACCGGCGCGGGGAGCTGGGGAGGGCCCTCCCAGGTGGTGCGCGCCCCCCCCCCGGCCCGGCCCCTCCTCCACGGGCGGCGAAGGCATCAGTGTCCACGCCCTCGCGGTCGGGGCTCCCGGGCGCGTGCCCGCGGGCACGCGATCGCACGGAGGCGTCCGCGAAAAGCCGCTCCGTGTCCGCTGGGTCGCGGCCCGGGGGCGCAGGGGCGCAGGGCCCAGGGGCCCGCGAGGCCGCCGCCAGCGCGGAGAGCCGGGGAGGGCCCTCTTGGCGGCGCGTCCCCCCCCCCCACCCCTCTCGCTCGAGACGACCCCTCTCCCGAGCTCGGCGAGGCAAACCCTGGCCCTCCTCGCCGGAGGTGGCCCCAGTCTGATGGTGGCGCCGCTCCCAGACACCCGCCGATCGGATCCTCCTGTGCGCGGCCCCAGAGATCCCGACCCGACAGGGCAGTTGTGCGGTCCGGTGGAGACGTGTCTGCTGGCCCCGGGGCCCGATCACGGATCCCAGAGGCGAGGTCGACCGAAAGCGCAGGGATCGAACAGGTCGTAGCATCGGAGATCTGGGTTCTTTCAACAGGGACCGACCGTCCCGGCATTCCTATGGGCCTACCACGATATGTTCTTAGAACCCAAGCGTGTTCTGAGAACAAAAACAAGGTTGCTAGAACATAAACCCGATGTGACAAAACAAGACCGGCCCAGCCAGAAATGTCCTGAGAACACTCCGTGGAAACCAGAAAGGGTTCTTGGAGCATTGCTTGGTAGGCCTCCAGGCGCGCCAGGACGCCTCGCCACTGCCCAAGCTCTTCCTCCCTCCGAAATCCTCACGCTGATCTCGGCCGTGACGTGCCTCCCGTACTGCCCCGCGATCTCCTCCAGCCGGGCCTCCACGGTCGATCCTGGCCGCCGGTTCGGAGGCGGCCCAGGGGGCCGGACACGGCTCCGACGACACCGACAGCGGCGCTCGAAGGCGCTCGGAGGCGCTCGGAGGCGACGACGACGACGGCGATGCCGAAGACGCCGACGACGAGGCCGACGACGCCGTCGATCGCACTCGGCGGCGCACGGCGGAGCGCCTGCTGCGGCCAGCGAGGCGACGAGCTCCACCAGGACGACCGCGGCGGACACCCCGTCCTTGTCGAGGGGCCTCGAGGCGACCAGGAAGCCGATGGCCTGCTCGTAGGCGAAGACGAGCCTGGAAGAGGGGGAAGGAGGGGGGGACATGAGAGTGGAGAGGAGAGGAGAGGAGGAGAGGGGAGGGGAGGGGAGGGGAGGGGAGGGGAGAGGAGGGGAGGGGAGGGCAGGGGAGGGGAGGGGAGAGGAGAGGAGGGGAGGGGAGGGGAGGGAGGGGAGGGGAGGGGAAGCAGGAGGAGCAGAAGGCAGACGGGCGGCGGCAGCAGCAGGAGGCGCTGAAGCAGGAGGAGGGACGGACGGTGCAGCAGGAGGAAAGGGATGGGGGTGGAGGAGGAGGATGGATGGATGGAGGAGGATGGATGAAGGGGCCCTGGGACACACAAATAAATACACACAAATAATTGTTGTCCCCATAGTTTCCCATATTTTCTGGGTTCTTCTCTTCCCCCCCCCTTCCCATATGTTCCCATATTTTCCTGGAAATCGACGATGAATTGTGTCTGTGCGTTTCTTTCCCTCCTGGATGGAGGAGGAAGATGTGGAGGCGGAGGCGAAGGAGGGTGGCGGAGGAAGAGAAAGAGGCGAGGACGAAGAGGGGAGGAAGAGAGAGGGAGGAGAGGCAGGAGGAAGTGGAGGGAGGGAAGGATGCCTGCCTTCGGAGGGCCCTCGGGGGCGGCCGTCGCCCCCCCCTGCCTGATCCGCCCGGAGATCCTGGTCGGAGCACCCCAAGACGGCCAAAGTCAGCCCCGACACGGTTCAAGTGCCCTTCGAGCCTCCCAGGGCACCCCCCTAAGAGGCCAAAATCCTTCCAAAGCCTTGCGGACATTGATGCCTCTGGGCTTCTCGCTGTTTCGCTTCCGATGGGCCTCTTAGGTCTCAAGATGGCCCGAAAATGGCCCAAGAGAGGCCCGCGAGGAGCACAAGACGGCCCCTCAGACAACCCCAAGAGCGCCCAACAGGCCGCCAGGAGAGGCCCAAGAGGCCCCCAAGATGGCCCCCAAGAGGCCATCTTGGAGCCTCCGAAGGGAAGACCTAAATTTAAGTCGGGCCTGTCCCCCTACAGGGGGATGTTCGACAAACGATTAAACATACCCCCAAAATAATCAAAAAAACACTTATCCCAGTGCGACCCTACCTAGGAGTTGGAGCCTCTAGGAAAGGAACATTAGTAGGAGCGGCAAACGCCGTCCTCCTCCTTCTCCTCATCGTCGCAGCAGCAATAGTGGATGCTGTGCTGGGCTATGCTATGCTATGCTATGCTATGCTATGCTATGCTCTGCTCTGCTATGCTATGCTATGCTATGTTATACTGCGCAATGCTATGCTGGGCTAGGCTAGGCTAGGCTAGGCTAGGCTGCGCTATGCTATGTTGCGCTATACTATGCTATGATGTGCTATGCTATGCTATGCTATGCTATGCTATGCTATGCGTGTGCGTTGCCTTCGCTTGTGCCTTCAAATTTGCCTTTGCTGTTGCTTGTGCTTGGCACCCGGGCAGCGCAACTGGGGGAACCGCGCGTTTGCTTGTACCTTTGCTCTTGCGTTTGCTTGGCTCCCAGGGGACTGGGGGAACCGCCCGGGGCGCTTTCCATTGCCCGGCCCCTTTAAGCCAACAGAGTAAGAACCCTTCTAGACACAGCCTAGGTAGGGAAACATAATCAATTATCCCAGTGCGGCCCTACCTAGGAGTTGGAGCATTTAGGAAAGCAACATCTACATCTACACCGACAGCTACAGTTACATCTACACATACATCTACATCTACATCAACATGCTATGATATGCTGTGCTATGCTATGATGCGCTGTGCTATGCTAAGCAATGATATGCCATGCTATGATATGATGTGCTGCGATATGCTATGCTATGCTATGATATGCTATGATATGCTGAGCTATGTTATGATGTGTTATGTTAGGTTATGAAATGATATGATATGCTGAATTATGTTATGCTGTGCTATGTCATGCTATGATATGCTTGGCTATGCTATGCTATGCTGTGCTAATGCTGCGCTGCGCTATGCTGCGCTGCGCTAAGCTAAGGAAAGCTAAGCTATGCTAAGCTAAGCTAAGCTAAGCTAGGCTAGGCTAGGCCAGGCTAGGTTAAGCTAAGCTAAGCTAAGCCAAGCCAAGCCAAGCCAAGCCAACCCAAGCTAAGCTAAGCAAAGCTAAGATGATATAAGCTAAGCTAAGCTAAGCTAGGCTAGGCAAAGCTAAGTTAAGCTAACATAAGCTAAGATGATATAAGCTAAGCTAAGCTAAGCTTAGCTTAGCTAAGCTAAGCTGGGTGAACCCAGGGGGCGCAGACGGGGGAACCGCGGGGCGGGGACTGGGGGAACCGCCCGGGGCGCTTCCACTGCCCGGCCCCTTTAAGCTAGAGAGTAAGAACCCTTCTGATCAGAGCCTAGGTAGGGAAAAAATTGTCTGGGGACTATTTTCTGAATATGGTTTGACCTTTTGGGGGTATTTTTGGTGTATCTTTATCTGTCGTCGAAAATCCCCCTGTAGGGGGACACGCCCGACAGAAACCTAAATTGAGTACCCCCTTCTTTGAGCCACCCTTAGGGAAAACGGCCAAGAACCGAAACCCACGGACCTAGACCCGCGTAAATAACGGCCGCGACGCCCTCTCGCGAACCGAAAACGGCCAGTTCACGAATCGACGTGTCAGGGCAGGTCTGTCCACCTCCGAATCCTGGAGCCTCCGGAAGGGAAGACCTAAATCGAGTGCCCCCCCCCTTCTTTGAGCCACGGGGGCCGAGGACGGGCCCCAGAGCGCGGGCGGAGCCTGGAAGGCCCGCGCAAACTCGCGCGCGGGGGAGCCCCCCGAACGGAGCCCCAAAAAGCGCGCGAGGGCGACCCGTTTTCGCCCTGGGCATCGCTGCTGGTGGGGCTGCTGTCTTTTGTCCCCACATGCTGAGTGGGGTTCTTGCTTTCCAGGAACACCCTCTCCTTCTCCCTCCCTCCTCCCTCCTCCTCCGGTGCTGCTGCTGTACTACCACTACCACTCCCACTTCCACTTACTACCATACCATACCTACCATATCACACTTACCCTACCATACCTACCATTCCATACCATACCTGCCATACCATACCATACCATGCGTACCATACCCTACCTTTTCGCCTGGGCATCATTGCTGGAGGGGCTGATGTTTTTCTAAACCCGTTCGGAAAAGCATTCGCGGCACTGTGCGACCCCGCATAGCGGTCGCCCCCCAATGACATAAACGCGGCAGGTCGACATACCCCGAAGCATGCAACAAATGTCGCCGCCGTCCCCGCAGCCCCGACAAAGGCATTCAAGGTGTCTATTGCACTTTATGTTTTTGCGTCGCCTACATGAAGCCAAGAAATAGATAAGTCTGTTCTGGATGGGCTGGTGGGGATACTTCGTTGGTTCGCGGGCTCATGAAGCAGGTCGAAAGCCGGGTAGAGCTAGGGCGGGCCGCGCCGAAGGGCTGGTGGGGATACTTTTTTGGTCAGCGGCTCCGAGGCAACGGACAGGGAGCGGAAGCGGCGTCCGGGTCGATGGTGGGGATACGCGAAGCGTCAAAATGCCTACTGTCAATAGGGGGCAAACAAACCTACCTCGCTTTTGACCACCCTCGCTTCCAAGAGATATCAAACGATGCCAAACTACGGCCTGTACTGGTCAGGCCGCTTGACGAGGAGGCGCGTGGTATGACTTGGTTTTGCCTGGAAGCGAAAGCGGGGTAGGTAATTCACGCTCTGAGTCAGTGTCCGACGGTAATCCACGCACCCTAGTCCATGATGAGGGCAGGGACAAAAAAACGTGAACATTACATTCTGGTGGTCCGCGCGGATTTCTTAGATCCGCGCACGACCCCCCCTTTCCTGGCGCGCGGAGAGCGCCAGGGGTGGTGCCCGATGCGCCGCCAGGGGGGGGGTCCCGCGCGGATGCGACCGAGGAATCCGCGCAGAGCTCTGAAAGGTTATGTTTATGCGTTCTTGGTGGATCGACAGTCAGCGCTCCCTCGAAGAGGGGCCGCCTCGCGGGCGGGAGCGAGAGAGGGAGGGAGAAAGGGAGGAGAAGGGAGCAGGAGGAGGATGACAAGGAGGGAGAACGAGGAGGAGGAGCAAGGGAGGAGGAAGAGGAGGGAGGAGGGGTAAGGGAGGAGTAGGAGGAGGAGGGAGGAGGAAGAGGAAGAGGAGGAGTAAGGAGGAGAGGGAGGAGGAGGGGTAGGAGGAGGAGGAGGAGGAGGAGGGGAGGAGGAGGAGGAGGAGGAGGAGGAGGAATTAGGAGGAAGAGGAGGGAGGAGGAGGAGTAAGGGAGGAGGAGGAGGAGGGGTACGGGAGGAGGAGGAGGAGGAGGAGGGAGGCGGAGGAAGGGAGGGGGAGAAGGAGGATGATGATGATGAGGAGGAGGAGGAGGAGGAAGGGAGGGGGAGGAGAGCGGGAGGATGAGGACTAGGAGGAGGAGGAGGACGACGAGGAGGAGGGAGGAGGAAGAGTAAGGGAGGAGGGGTACGGGAGGAGGAGGAGGAGGAGGAGGATGGTCCATCCCGCTCCACGACGCGCGCCCTCGCGCCGCCCCCCTGGAGAGGAACATAGCCGTTCGGCTATGATGCCGCGCGGCACGAAGCGCTGCCCTCTTCGCGCCCACGTGGGGCCAACGCGGGCGAGAGGCGCGGAGCATGCTGGCACCCGCAGAGCTCGGCCGGCGCAGGGGGGGGGAGGGGGAGGGGGAGGGGGGAGGGGGGGGGGAGAGGGGGAGGGGGAGGGGGAAGGGGGGGGGGAGGGGGAGGGGGAGGGGGAAGGGGGAAGGCCTCTTGGAAGCACGCGGGGCTTCTGTGTAGGCGCAAGGACAGCGCCTTCCAAGAAGCAGACTCCTTCTAAGAGGCCTTCCCCCTTCCCCCCCCCCCCGTTGCGCGCCGCCAGAGAGCAGAGGAGCAGCGCGGAGCGCAAGCGACGAGCAGCTTGTGGTCTGCGGCCGCTTGACTCAAGCAGTGCTCGAGCGACGGAGGGGGGCTGCCGAGGGTGGAGCTGGTGCTTGAATTAGCCTTTGGTCGGGAGCGGCCAAGAGGGGGGTGTCCAGGAAGGGGGGGGTGCAAATCATGACCGGCGGCATGTGCGCGGCCCAGCGGGTGGGCCAGGGACGTAATGGAATAAGAAGAGGCGCCATAAAATCTCGGGAAATTGAATGGCCCTATCCACCCACCCCTAGTCATCACCCCCCTCTTTGCCGCCCCCGATTTGGGGGTCGTCCCTCTGTCTCTGACTCCGGCTGGGAGCGGTCTCAGGCTACTCTTGGCCGGTCTCTCCCCCACCGTCCCCGGCGCTGGCATACCGGGGGGGTCATAAATGGGGGGGGTCAGAAGCGGTCCCCTTTCGTGCCCTGTTCGGGCCCCTCCGGAGCCCCAGGGGCTCGTTTGGGGACCGTTTGGGTACCTTTTCGGACCACCCTCGACGCCCCCTCATTTATCGCCCCTATACCGCACGCACAACTTCCACTACGTTTCTCGGCCCCCTGCCGAGGGTATCCAGGAAAGTAGCAGCCTGTCACCTCCATGTACAAACGGCGGTGGACAAACCTCCCTTTAGCAAGCCTCCCCTTAGCGAAAACGGCCTAGGACCGAAACCGACGGACCTGGACCCGCAAAAATGACGGCCGCGACGCCCTCTCGCGAACCGAAAACGGTCAATTCGCTGATCGGCGTGTCAGGGTAGGAGGTCTATCAACCTCCGACTATTCCCCCTGGCCACAACTCAGCCCTCCCTCCCCTGCAACCGTCTGGACGACCCGGGCACCCCCAGGACGCTCTCGGACGTTCCTGGGCGGGATGGGCCATCAGGCCCCTACCGCCTACCGGCGATACAGCCATCGGCCTGACCCAAGGAACGAGAAATCAGGAACGAAGCCCCAGTTTCTCCAAGGCATAACGCACAAGGAACGCAGGGTAGGAGGTCGATCAACCTCCGATGCCTGAGGCGCTGCCGAGGCGAGCCGAGGCACGGAGGCAGGCGCGGCGGGAGGCGGAGAGGGGGCGCACGAGGGGGGCAGGGGGGGGCCCGCGCGGAGCACGAGCGGCGAGCACGAGGGAGCGTGAGGGGGAAGGCAGCAAGGGGCGACGAGCGTGAGCGACGAGCACAGGAGGAACAAGCGGCACGGGCGGCAACTGATGGAGCGGTTTTCCACCACCACCACCACCACCACCACCATAAGCAAGAGGGGGAGGGGGTCCTCCTCCTCCTCCTCCTCCTCCTCCTCCTCCTCCTCCTCCTCCTCCTCCTCCTCCTCCTCCAACTTACGGTGGTGGTGGTGGTGGTAGAAAACAGGCCCATCAAGCAACTGTCAGAAGTCCGTGGGGACCTCCTGAAGCACATGCTCGCTCCAGCCAGCAGGCAAGCAAGCAAGCAAGCAAAGAGCCGCGCCCTGACGTGGTGCGCATGCGTAGGTAGAGGCTGTCACCGAGCCTCGGTCCGCAACCACTTGTGAGCTTTGCGCGGATCGGCGCGCGAGGGCAAGCAGCAACCTTCCGTCTCAAGGGGGGCAAGGGGAGGCGGGCGGCGGCGGCGAACAACGGAATGGTCGTTCGAGCCGTTCTCACGCAAATTCTGATGGGAAAACCAGGGGCGTGAAAATGGAGAAAACCCGCAGAGACGAGGAGCGAGAACACAAGCAAAAGAACAACGGCAGAAACATAAACGTTTGGCGCTCCGCGCGGATTTTTTGATCTGAGCCGGACCCCCCTCCCTGGCGCGCAGAGCGCGTCAGGGGCGGCGCCGGAGGCGCCGCCGGGGGGGCCCAGCGCGGATCCAAGAAACCCGCGCGGAGCGCCAAAAGTTTCTGTTGATGGCGCTTCTGCGTCTTCGAACAACGGAGGCGGGCAAGGGGGGAGAGAGAGAGAGAGGAGGGCGGCGAAGGAGCCGAGCGAGGAAGTCCATCGCCCTGCCCGTTGAGCAGGGACAGACCGTCCCGGCATTCCTATAGGCCTACCACGAAATGTTCTTAGAACCCAGACATGTTCTAGGAACAAGAACCGTGTTCTGAGAACACAAACCCGATGTGTTAAAACAAGCCAGTCCCAGCCAGAAATGTTCTAAGAAAACATGTAGTGGCAACCACAAGAGGTCCTCAGAACATTGCTTCGTAGGCCCATAGGCACGCCAGGAAGCTTCGCCACTGCTTGATCGGGCGAGGGAAACGGCTCCGCAGCCCCAGCGGAGAGACCTTCCGACCCGCCGGCCAGCCGCCCCCTGCGGTGCCCGCCTCTCCTTCGGGCTTCGCGGCGCCCCTGCCCCACCCCCGTCCCCCCCTGCCGCCCGGCGGGGGGTGCGCCGGGGACAGGTTGCCCGGCCTGCGGCCACGAGGGTCTGCGCAGCCCTTTGTCTGTTTTCGTTCTAGGGGGCCACGTGCGGACCCTGCCCCATAGCCCCCCACGACTTCGGAGGGGGAGGGTGGGGTTCCCTTCGCTCGGGAGCTCCCGAGCGAAAGTGGACCCCACCCTCCCCCTCAGAAGTCGTGGGGGGCAGGGGCAGGGTCCGCACGTGGCCCCCGATTTTTCGAGCGAGGGCTCAGAACTCGGCGGCCCACCGAGAGGAGAGCCAGAGGGGGCCAGGCTCAGGTCGGGCGTGTCCCCCTGCAGGCGGATCCTGGGCGAACAACAGAAGATCGCCCCCCTACCAATTTTTCCAGTTTTGGCTGCTCCTCCGATCTCGGGAGCGGCCAAGAGGGGGGTGTCCAAGAGGGGCGGGTGCAAATCATGACCAGCGGCATGTGCGCGGCCCAGCGGGGGGGCCAGGGACGTAATGAAATAAGAAGAGGCGCCATGAGATCTGAGGAAATATCATGGCCCACGCCATGATATCCACCCCCCCCTAGTCATCACCCCCCTCTTTTCCGCCCCCGACGGTCGAGGGACGGGCCCGACTCCGGGCCAGGCCTCCCGAGCCGTCCGAGCAGGCCCGCCGCCGCTGCCCTGCCCCCCCCCCTGGAGCGCCGCCGCCGAGGCGGGCAGGGCAGGCTGCGAGCGCAGACGCTCGGACGCTCGGAGGCCCGGGCGGAGGTCTCGGCCACCCGGCCACTACCAGCCTCGAACTTCTCCCTGTCCCGAAGATTGACCCGCCAGGAGGCGATGACAATCTCAGGGATCCGCCCTCAAAAAAGAAGGGAGTCCCTAAGATTGGCAGCGTGATGAGGAGATGCCCAGCATAGGGATAGGGATATCTTCCAGGCTGGTAAGACCAGACGGGGCTGAACCTGAACCGTGGTGTTCGTTTTTCGTTTTGTCTTCGTTGTCCCTCGCTCTTTGTCTCGAAGCCGCCTTCACCGCAAAACGAAGTCGACACGAACAGGGCCCACGAAAGTGCAATAGGTCCAGCCCTGCTACAAGACCACCCCAACCCAACCCGAAGACCCAAATTCAGGCCGAATTTCGGGTTGGGGGGGGGGGGCATCGGGCCCCTTCCGAACCCAAACTGTTCCTGATTTCAGCGTCTTGCCTGTAAGGCCTCGTGCGAGGTCCTCCAGATCAGGAATCCGCTGCCCGTGGTCTCGGGGATGGTCTCCCGCATGGTCTGAAGCCTGGTATCCACGCTGTCTCCCGTGTGGTCTCCCGTACGGCCTCCCCGTGTGGCCTCCCCGTATGCCCTCCCGTATGGCCTCCCGTACGGTATACGCTCTTCCGTAGGGCCTCCCGCAGGGTCTCCTGCATGGTCTTCCGCACGGTCCTCTGGATGGTCTCCTGCCTCGTCTCCCTCACTGTATCCTCTTTGGTGTCCCTTGTGGTAGCGCGCTCAATATCAGCTAGAGTACTCTCTGCACTACTCCTCACTTTCTGCAGTACTCTTTCTAATCATCGATTTGGTAGTCTGAAGAGTTGTTCAGGGTCCTCTGCTGCCAGTCGTGGAATTGTTGTTCGGGCATTGTTTCTCGCACTGGCTGGCACCGCCAAGGCCCAAAATTGGGCCTCAGAAATCGATGCTTACTGTTCTGTAGATTACCCCACGAGACGCGCTGGCGTGAACTCTGCAGCACCGCATGAGTCAACCACTTTGAAACCTGATTTGGCGGCGCGCACGAGGGGATGGAGGCAGGGGGGAGGGCTTCTTACAAGGGGCTGCTTCTTAGCAGGCGCAGGCCTTGCATCTATAGATAAGGCACGCGCCTTCTAAGAAGCAGGGGTGCTTCTAAGAAGCCCTCCCCCTCCCTTCACCCCCCTCTGCGCGTGGCTGACTGCTGGTCGGCCCCCCTGGCCCAGATCGCCTCCAAAAGCCTTTGCTGGCCTTTCGGTTTGTCCCACGAGAGCCGCTTGTCCGGATTCTGCAGCGCCGCGTGGGCCATCCACTTAAAGCCTGTTCCCCGTATCTCTTCCTATCCGCCGCCTCGTTTAACCTTCCTCCTTCTCCTGATTGTCCTCCTTCGCCACGCCCTCCTCACCCAGACCCTCAGACATCCAGAACATTCTTCAAACCACGTAACCAATGCCCAAAGCACGCGCAACAACCATCATCATCATCATCGTCAGCATCATCATCATCATCATCATCATCATCATCATCATCATCAGCAGCAGCAGCAGCAGCAGCATCATCCTCATAATCAGCATCAGCATCATCATCAGCATCAGCAGCATCAGCAGCATCATCAGCATCATCAGCATCATCATCAGCAGCATCAGCACCATCAGCAGCAGCGGCATCAGCGTCAGCATCATCATCATCAGCATCATCATCATCATCATCATCAGCATCATCATCATCAGCAGCAGCATGATCATCGTCATCAGCAGCATGATCATCATCGTCATCACGATCATCATCATCGTCATCATCATCATCATCAGCAGCAGCAGAATCATCAGCATCATCAGCATCATCATCATCATCATCATCGTCGTCGTCATCGTCATCATCGTCATCGTCATCGTCATCACCACCACAGCAATCGTCATCATCACCACCACCGCCATCATCCTCGTCAGAATCGTCAGCCGCATCAGAAGCAGCATCAGCAGCATCATCCTCATCATCACCTCATCATCCTCATCAGCATCATCATCATCATCATCATCATCATCATCATCATCATCATCATCATGATCATCATCATCATCATCATCATCATCATCATCATCATCATCATCATCATCATCATCATCATCATCGTCAACATCATCAGCACGATCATCATCATCATCATCATCATCAGCAGCCTCATCATCATCTCCATCATCATCATCAGCATCAGCATCATCAGTATCATAATCATCATCATCATCATCATAATCATCATCATCATCATCATCATATCAGCATCAGCATCAGCATCAGCATCACCATCATCGTAATCATCATCAACAACATCAACATCGTCGTCGTCATCATCAACATCATCAGCAGCATCATCAGCAGCATCAGCAGCATCATCAGCATCATCATCGTTACCAGTATCATCATCATCATCAGCAGCATCATCACCATCACCATCATCATGATCATGATCATCATCATCATCATCATCATCATCATCATCATCTCATCATCATCATCATCATCACCTTCACCATCACCATCATCATCATCATGATCATCATCAGCCGCAGTACCATCATCAACATCAGCATCAACGTCAGAGTCATCATCATCAGCAGCAGCACCATCATCATCGCCACCACGACCATCGCCACCACCACCACCACCACCTCCATCATAATCATCATCGTCATCAGCAGCATCATCAGCATCATCATCAACAGTTTCACCATCATCAGCATCAGCAGCAGCATCAGCAGCATCATAATCATCATCATCATTAGCAGCATCATCATCAATATCATGAGCATCAGCATCAGCATCAGCATCATCATCACCATCATCTTCATCATCATCGTCATCATCATCAGCAGCATCACCGGCGGCATCGTCATCAGCATCATCATCATCATCATCAGCATCATCATCATCATCATCATCATCACAACTACCACCACCGTCATCATCATCATCAGCAGCAGCAGCAGCATCAGCATCAGCATCAGCATCGTCATCATCGTCGGCATCAGCATCATCATCATCATCGTCATCATACTCATGATCAGCATCGTCATCATCATCAACAGCATCATCACAGTCATTATCAGCATCACCATAATCTTCATCATCAGCATCATCATCATCCTTATCATTATCATCACCATTCGCATCCTCATCCTCATTATCATCCTCATCCTCAGCCTCAGCCTCAGCCTCGTCGTCAGCAGCAGCAGCAACAGCAGCTCTCTCCTATTCATCCTCCGATGCCTGTGAATGTTTCCTGGAAGGCCACTCCGTGGGCCGACGCCATCTTGCCCAGCAGCGCGGACGACACCAGCGTGGTGACGACCAGCCGGTCCTTTCCAGATCGAGGAGCAATTGAAGAACACTCTACTGAGACTTAGGATGCTTGGACATTGTTTGAAAGTGTGATATGTCCAGTACAATTGCTCTCAAGATGCTGCACCCTGCACTCTAAAATACGATGGAGGGTCAGGATTTCTGGGCCCTGGGGAGGATTTACCAAAAGGAAGATGGTGAGGGAAGCTCAGGGGGGGGGGGCGGGAATCGACGATGAATCGCCGATAGATCGGCACCAGGCCCCAGATAGCAACACCGCACTTTCCTGGGCGGGTGGACTATCGGGCCCCTCTCGGCGATGAATGGGCGATCGGGTGTCGATGCATCCCCCCCAGAGCCTGTCCCCCGCTGATGCTGCCCCGGAGGGAGTCTTTCCCACGAGGAGGAGCGGGAGGAGGCGGGGGGTCCTCTCCAGTGCCGGTCCTCAGTATGTCCGCCACCGCGCTGGCAGCACCGCAGGCGTGCGGCGGACTCCCGGCCCCGAACATGCAGCTGCTGCCTGCAGTGCGGTAGCACCGGGCACCCCTCCACGTCGGACAGAAGGGAGGGTCAGTGCACAGGCGGGGTCAACGAATCAGCTCACGCAGACGAGTTCCCGGCTCCGACTGCAACAGGACAGCCCCGACACGGACCGAGGCTGGCCCAAGTTCGCTTCAAAGCAAGGACGGCTTCGCGAAGACCCTAAGACTCTGAAACACCCTTTGGACCCCAGGACTCCCCTGGGGGCACAAAGACAGCCCAAAAAACAGCCCCGAGGTTCCCAACAGAACACTCAAGCTGCCATCATGAGGCCCCGCAGAGGCACCCGAGAGACAAAACAAGCATGCAACGGTACAGCCGTGATGCGATCAGCGTTCCTACGCAGATGTTGCCAGAAAATAGTAAGAAGCTCAGCTTACATAAGCTCGGTGAAGGAAATGCGCGGCAGCACAAGTGGATAGTCGCCGAGCAACCATCCGATCTCGTCGCCTGCCAGCCGTCGCCACGTCCCATCCTTCAGGGGAATCGCCACTGCAAGTCGGTCAGCATCTGGGTCGTTCGCCAATGCCTGGGCAGGCCGAAAGGTACCGACACCGCTACTCCCCGGACCTCTACGGGAGTGCGTTCTGGCAAGAACTTCGAGACGAATCCAGCCGTGGCGACGAGATCTCCCCAGGAGGGCCTAAAGGCGAGAACGAGCCACGGATATCTGCATCGGCACCTTTTTCCCCCTCTGAGCGCCACGTGAGCGCCGCACCCCTTGGCGCGCTCGAGCAGCAGGTCCATGGCGCCCGGCTCCTCTTGAGGCCTCCCAAGTGGGGTCGGAGAGCTGGGGTCGGAGGATCGCGCCGTGTCGCCGATGCAGCCATCGGGCCGATGCATCGGCGATGCATCGGCGGGATCCGCCGACGGCCCCATCTGCCCAGACCCTACACAGGAGGCCTCGATCCTCCGGGTTCGGGAAGGAGACGGTCGGGAACGTGCCGTCCGGGACGTGCTGCTCCTGGACCACCACTGGAGCCGCCGCGCCCACTCGGGCGAACGCCGCCTCCAGCGTCTTGGCCCCGACCCCGTGCATGGCCGTGTAGGCCACGGTGACGCCCGAGAGGCTGAGCTTCGGCTGCAGCCGCACCGAAGGCACCTCACGAGCGGCGGCCGCGGATCCGTTTCTACGAGCCGGGCGTTGTCGCACCACTGCGGGCCCTGGGGGTCCTCACAAATCGACCCGGCTCGACAAGAATGGCGCGGAAAGATGGCATCTCCACGGCTCCAGTCGGGATATTTGACGACGTCGCAAGTTGTTCTCACGAGCGGCGAACGTGTCCGTATGCACGCTCGGGGATCTGCTGACCCAGGTCGATCCAGACGTGGGTCAGTCAGGCTTTGCAGGATCCTGCAAGACCCCACAGGATCCTGCAGGATCCTGCCCCCAAACCCAAGCCAGAGCACCCCTGGCCCTGCAAGATCCTGCCGGACCCGGCGCTCTGACGGACCCCCGCCTGCATGGACCCCCGTCTCTCGAGCCCCGACGCGCCCTCGCGGTCCGGACTCCGGGGCGCCACCGCGCGGGCACGCAGCCGCACTGATGCGCTCCGCGCGGGGGCCCCGCACCCTCCAGTTCCTCCTCCCCCACCTCCTCCTCCCTCTCCTCCTCCTCTCTCTCTCCTCCTCCTCCTCCTCCTCCCTCCTCCCTCCTCCTCCTCTCCTCCTCCTCCTCCTCCTCCTCCTCCTCCTCCTCCTCCTCCTCCTCCTCCCTCCTCCTCTCCTCCTCCTCCTCTCCTCCTCCTCCTCCTCTCCTCCTCCCTCCTCCTCCTCCTTCCTCCTCCTCCTCCTCCTCTCCTCCTCCTCCTCCTCCTCCTCCTCCTCCTCCTCCTCCTCCTCCTCCTCCTCCTCTCCTCCTCCTCCTCCTCCTCCTCCTCCTCCTTCCTCCTCCTCCTCCTCCTCCTCCTCCTCCTCCTCCTCCTCCTCCTCCCCCTGCGGAAAAAGAGCGCCCCGCACCCGCGGGGTCGCGGCCCAGGGGGCCCGCCCCACGAGGCCGCGGCTGCGAATATGGTCTGCGCCCCCGGGCTCGGGTCCTCGTCGCACCGCGTTCGCGTCGATTCGTCGGACTCGCGTCGGACCCACCTCGGATCCACGTCGCACCGCGTTCGCGTCGGATGGCGTCGGACTCGCGTCGGACCCACCTCGGCTCCTCGTCGGCCTCGCGTCGGAGCAGCGCCGAGCAGGCGTCGTCCCACACCCGACGGGGCGGACGCGTGGGGGGCTGGCTGCCGCCACCGTGGCGCGCCGCGCGGGGCCCCCAGGACTTTCCTCCGAGGGCACCCAGTCCAGGTAGGCCTCCAGCGCCTCCGCGCCCAGCCTGAGGTCGGGCATGTCCCCCTGGAGGTCGATTTTTGGGATGAAAAGATAAAAAAATACCCTGAGAATGTTCAAGAATCCTCGAAAAATAATGGAGAACTCGTCCCTGTATTATTTTTCAAACTATTTTTGAACATTCCTCCTGTAGAGGGACACGCCCGATTTAAGCCCAGCCTGTGCACAAGCGGGTGCCCCTCGGGCGCCAGCTCCACCTGCGTGGCGTCGAGCCTGGCGATGGCGGCCGCGATGTGCGCATCCTGCGGCGGCACGATCTGCCCGCTGGTGCCCAGGTAGACCTCGGGGAGGCCAGGAACAGAGAGCACCACATCGGGAAATCTGATCGGATCGGCACCTGCATCGAATCTCGGGTCGGGCGAAAGAGGGGGTTAGCAAAGGGGGGGGGGTGAGAGTCAGCTCACGTAGCTGATTTCCCGGCGCCTCCCGGCGCCGGAGGCGGCTATGTATCGAGGAATGGGCCCCTCGGTGAAGCCGAAACCAGCTGCATGCAGCAAATTTCGTAACCCCCCCTTTCCCAATCCCCCCCTTTCGCCCGGCCCGAGAATCGGACCGCATCGGCTCGGAAGCGGAATCGAATCGAGTCGGCGGCGCCAGGATGCAGAACAGCGCCATGCGAGCATCGGGCCCCACCGGATCGGCCCAAAATCGGAATCGAATCGAATCGGGCCGGTAAAACCCGATGTCGAATCGGGTCGATTGGATCGAAATGAAGCCTGGAAGCCTCCGACAAAGACACCAGTCCGAGCCTTTCCACCGTCCCTCTTCCCCAGAGTCCAGAGTCAGCAGGAGGACCCCAACAAAGCGGGGGAAACTAGCCACGCAGGAAGAGGCTACCCGAGATCACAAAGTTCACTCCCAGCATCTATGGAGCCAGCTGTAGCGAGAAAAAACATCAACATCAACTTCCGGAGCTGCGCGCGGATCCCTCGGATCTGCGCTGGGCCGCCCCTCCCTGGCACGCGGAGCGCGCCAAGGGCGGTGCCGGAGGCGCCGCCTGGGGGGGTGCCCGCGCCGACAGGAGAAACACGCGCGGAGCTCCGAAAGTCTACATTTGTGCAATTGCTTGCCTCTCGATCAATGGAAAGCCGTGCTGCCTAGCAACTACTTTCCAGCAGGAGCCGCATGGGCACAAACGTCTGGACGTCCGCGCAGATTGCTTGGGCGACGGTCAGCGCTGGGCTTAGGTCGGGCATGTCCCCCTGCGGGCAGACGTTGGACGAAAATTAAAACATAGCCCCCAAAAAAGATTCCAAACAGCTTCGAAAGTAGTCAAAGAATCGTCCCTGGACGATTTGCAGCCCTTAGTGGGCCCTGGAAACGACAGGGCCGTTTTTGTTACCGGTTCCGTTTTGCCGTTTTTTCGCTGGTTCCGACGCCGTTGTTTTACCGGTTCCGTCGCCGTTTTTTGACCGGTTCCGGCTCCGGTTCCAATCCTGGAGCCGTTTTTTTGCCGTTTCCAGTCGCCGTTTTTCTGCCGTTTCCAATTTCAAGGGACATTGTTTTGGAAACGGTGATAAAACGGCCCTGCCGTTTCCGGGGCCCACAAAGTTGCAGCCTAGTCTTGGACATCCCTCCTGAGAGGGACAGGCCCGCCCTTGACTCTGGCGCTGCACCCTGCGCGCTGCGCGCGCCGGGGGCAGGGGTCCAGCGCGGGCCCAGGAAGTCTCTCGGGTCGGGCCTGCCCCCCTGCAGGGGGACCGTCGACGAAAAACAACAAAAAAATACCCCAAAAATGCTCCAAAAAGGTCCAGAAATACTCAAAAAATACTCCCCAGACTACTTTTTCATTTTTCGTCGAAAGTCCCCCTGTAGGGGGACAGGCCCGACTTAAAGGAAGTCTCTCCGCGGACCACCGAGCGCTCGTGCCCCCGCCGCGCCCTGCCCACCGGATGCCGAGGGCGGGAGGACCGCATCGGCGCGTGCGGCGAGGGTCGGGTCGGGCACGTCCCCCTACAGGCGGATCTCGGACGAAACATACGAGGTGGTCCGAAAATGCTCCCCGATGCTCGAAGGTATTCCAAAAATCGCCTCCATACGATCTTATGCCTGTGTTTGAAGATTCCTGCTGTAGTCCCTAAGGGCTTGTCGACTCTTCGCCGATCGACTTGTGGGGATCGAGCCAGATAAATCCAGGTAGATGCAGATAAATCGAGGTACGTCCAGGTAAGTCGAGATAAATTAGGGCAAATCCAGGTAAATCCAGAGATCTCCAGGGAAAGTTGGAGCAATTCGCGGCCGCTCCAGCGCGAGTCGAAGGATGGCAGAAGTCGTTAAGCCTTTAACGATGCAGGTGGACAGGCCCGACTGGAGACGAGGGCCCTCCGAGACCTCGCGGGGCTGGGGATTCCTCGCCGGCGAGCGGCCCCGCACCGCAGCCACCGCGGAGCGCCGCGCCCCGCTCAGGCTGGACCCTTCCGATGCCGAGGAGCCGCACGGGATCGAGCCGGGTCGGGAGCGCGGCCCCGGCCGGACCGCGCCGGTTGGCAAAACAACGGATGCGTAAAAGACGATGAGCGGGCGTGGAGGAGGAGGAGGAGGAGGAGGAGGAGGAGGAGGAGCACCAGGAGGAGGAAGAAGAGGTGGAGGCGGAGGAGGAGGGGGAGGCGGAGGAGGAGGGGCAGGAGGAGGAGGGCAGGAGGACGAGGGGGAGGTGGAGGAGGAGGAGGAGGAGGAGGAGGAGGAGGAGGAGGAGGAGGAGGAGGAGGAGGAGGAGGAGGAGGAGGAGGAGGAGGAGGAGGAGGAGGAGGGAGGAGGAGGGAGGAGGAGCCCAGGTCGAATCGGACCGCATCGACTCGGACTGTAAGCGGCCCAGCCTTGTACCCATTGTCCGCGGGCGGGTTGTGGCTCGCGGTCACCATCACGCCCGCGGCAGCGCCCACGCGAGTGATGTTCCTGAGCATCGTTTCACCGATCCCCATCCCCAGGAGTGCCCCAAGAGGCGCCCAAGAGGCCTCCTCCTCCTCCTCCTCCTCCTCTCCTCCTCCTCCTCCTCCTCCCCCTCCTCCTCCTCCTTTTTCCTCATTCTCCCCCTCCTCCTCTTCTTGCTCCCCCATGCGTTCCCCGAAGTCTTTCCAAACCGACTCGGGGAACTTCCCCCTCAGATGGGGATATAGGCCGTTCCCTTCGGGCGTCGAGGGGTGTGTCCCCCATTGGGGGGGCAATTTGGTGGGGGCCTCGGAGGGGATGGGGATCGGGATGGGGGTCGGTTAAACGAGACCGAGCTCCACGCGAGCACCGGCGTCGGAAGGGGCTCCGGCAGCAACATGGCCTTCATGCCCCGCGCGGCGGCCACCAGCGCGGTGTCCCGCGCGAAGAGGTCGCTCTTGCGGCGCATGTCGAACCCGATGATGATGCCCTGGTCCTTTGGAGGCCGTGATGGGCGACGGCGGAGGAGGGAAGGAGGAGGAGGAGGAGAAGGAAGAGGAGGAGGAGGAGGAGGAGGAGGAGGAGGAGGAGGAGGAGGAGGAGAGGAGGAAGGGGACTCGAGGATCGAGAGCAGAGGGCACCGCGGTCGACTCCGCCGCCGCGGGCCCTGGAGGAGGAAGGGGAGGAGGAGGAAGAGGGGGAGGAGGAGAGGAGGGGAGAAGGAGGAGGAGGAGGAGGAGGAGAGGGGAGGAGGAGGAGGAGGGAGGAGGAGGAGGAGGAGGAGGGAGGTGGGGGAGGAAGAAGAGGAGGGGAGGAGGAGGAAGAGGGGGAGGAGGAGGAGGAGGAGGAGGAGGAGGAGGAGGAGGAGGAGGACGAAGAGGACCCCCACACCCCTGCAACTTGTGGTGGCGGTGGTGGAGAACAGGCCCATCGGGCATCCAGGCGACGAAAATGGGTGGCGACATCCGCACCCGCCCACACCAACCATCGGTTCTCCTGACTCAGTGGGAGACGGGGATGGGACTCAGATTCCGCCATGTGTTACCCTACTCCAGATTTCGTAATAAAGGGAGGGGGGTCTCATTTCGGGGGGGGGTCTCTTCCAGGCTATCTTGGAGGGCCTGGGGGGTCTGGGGACGATGTTTTGGAGGGTTCTCCCACGGGGGAGGTCTGAAATGGCTTGTCTTGGAGGGTCCAGACCCCCTCCCTTTTGATACGAAATCTGGAGTACCCTACCTCCGACGCCCAAGCACTTGCCTGGATCATTGATCAGCGGGGGTGCGTAGGGTTCGAATTTCGCCGACGGAAAAGGGAACGCGTCTTACGCAAGACGACGTGGCGACCTCACGCCGTGGCTTGCGCGGACCGCCAGCGCGGCACACCGCGCTGAGAAGAGGACGCCCACGCGCAACCTTGCGCGGGAAGCTCCCGCGCGAGTGCCCGCGCAGCCGACCCCGCTTTCTTTCCGTCGCCCGTCTGAGCGGGGCCGTGCCGGGAGAAGGACCAGGAAACGGGCACGCAAGAGCAGGAGGAGGAGGAGGAGGAAGGAGGAAGAGGAAGGAGGAGGAGGAGGAGGAGGAGGAGGAGGAGGAGGAGCAGCTGTAAAAAGACCTGTGCCCTGCCGCCGAGGACGACGCCCGCGAGCAGGCCTTCATGGACCCCTTGCCTGCCCGGAGAGGGCGAGTTTCAAAGGAAATTGGGACACACAAATAAATACACACAAATAAACAGATTCCCCATATTTTCCCATATGTTCTGGGTTTTTGTCTTCCCCCCCAATTCCCATATTTTTCCATATTTTCCTGGGAATCGAAGATTAATTGTGTCTGTGTTTTTGTTCCCTCCTGAGAGTTGAGCAGACGGCAGCTCAGAATCGGTCCGAGGGACCCCTCCCGGGGTCCAACCCGAAGGCCGAGCACCGCGGTCTCACAGCTGGCCCTCCCCTGGACGACGGCGGCGGCACAGGCTTAAGTCGGGCCTGTCCCCAGACAGGGCGATGTTCGACGAAAGATACAAAAAAATACCCCAAACATAATCCAAAAATCATCCAAGAATAGTCTGGGGACTATGTGTTTAGTATGCTTTGACCTCTTTGGTGCATTTTTGAGGCATTGATTATTTTTCGTCGAAAATCCCCCTGTAGCGGGCCGCGCCCGACTTAAGCACAGGCCCTGACGTCCGCCGATGTGCTGTCGTCAATCCTCGAGGCCTCCTGGATGGGGTCGGAGTGTAGATGGGGGCAGGATGATCGCCGCCGCATCACCGATGCATCGGCGATGCATCGCCGATGCATCGGCGACGCATCGCCGATGCAGTGGCGACGTCGGCGATGCATCGGCGACGTCGGCGTGGAGACAAGTGGGCCCCACGTCGAGCCGCATCGCCGATGCGTCGCCGATGCACCGGCGATGCGGCGCGATCATCCGACCCCACCTACTCCGACCCCATCTAGGAGGCCTAGAAGTCCCCAGAGGTCCCGACCGCTTCCCCAGGGGTAATGTTCCGCACCCGATCCGTTGCTGATGGCCCCGGGGGACCGAGAGTGACCCCCGCTGGGACACTCTGGGCCGAAACGCGAATCTCTGAGCTCTGCCCTCTTCGAGCAGAGGCGGAGGGAGGAGGAGGAGGAGGAGGAGGAGGAGGAGGAGGAGGAGGAGGAGCATGATCTCGGGGGCGTCCAAGAGGGGGGTATCCAAAGGGGGGGGGGGTCGCCAATCGTGACCGGCGGCACGTGCGCGGCCCAGGGGGGGGCCAGGGACGCATTGAAACAAGAAGAGGCGCCGCCATGACATCTGGGGAGAAACATCATGGCCCCCGCCATGATATCCACGCCACCCCTAGTCATTACCCCCCTCTTCAAGGGCTCCCAACTTCGTGCGTCGCGCTGCGCGAAGCGCGAAGTGCGAATAACTTCGCGCTCTCGCGCCGCCTCCCAGGGGAGGAGAGGAGGATGAGAAGGAGTCGGAGCCGAAGCGCGAAGCGCGAATAACTTCGCGCCCTCGAGGGCGCCCTTGCCTCTTGGCCGCTCCCGATGATCGCACCTCGCCGCCGAGGCGTCGGCGGCGCCAGGGCTGCAGAGGAGACCGGGCTCCCAGGCCATGCCGCATCGCCGACGCAGGGCGCGGCCTGGGGGCCGCCCCGGGGTTTCTCCTCGGAGGCGCGCCACGGGGGCGAGGCAGGGCCTCCTCAGGAGGCTCGGGTGGCCTCAAGCCCCCCCAAAAACACACTCACACACACACACACACACAAGGGCGCTCTGTCGGGGGCGCGCAAACATGGATTAGCGATCCATGGCTTTGGCGCGCTGTCGCCCAATCCATGGATCGGGGGATGTGCCCTCCCCAAAATGCGGCCGGTGCCGCCTCGTCCGGCGGCGGAAATCCGCGATTTCCCGTGGAAACGGGACCCGTCGCTGATCCGCACCCCCTTGATCCATGTTTGCGATCGCCTGAGACTCTGCAGGAGCCTGCAGGATCCGGCGCTCTGGCTGACCCCCGTCTGCATCGGCCCCCGTCCCCATTTGGAGTCCCGCAACGGTGCGGTGACAGACCGTGCGGTGACCTCGAAATCGCCCCAAGACCTCACCGCACGGCCCGTCGCCGCACGGTCCTTGGGAGCCCTGGAGGCCCCCTGTCGCCCGAGGCGCCCTCGGAGAGGGCCTCGAGCCCCGAAGCCGTGCGGTGGCCCCGAGGCCCCACCGACTCGCCACGCGGTGTGGTCACCGCCCCGTTGTTGGGGGCCCCCGAGGGCAGCATCCCACCGTGCCAGCCGTCCGGGCGGAGCCCTTCCTCCGCCGGCCGGAGCAGCGGCGAGGAGCAAGACTCCGTCCGCCTGGCGGCCTCCGAGACAGAGGCTCCCGCTCTGCGGCCGGGGATAAAGCCATTGGCGGGGAGGAGGAGGGGGGAGGAGGAGGAGGAGAGGAGGAGGAGGAGGAGGAGGAGGAGGAGGAGGAGGAGGAGGAGGAGGAGGAGGAGGAGGAGGAGGAGAGGAGGAGGAGGAGGAGGAGGAGGAGGAGGAGGAGGAGGAGGAGGAGGAGGAGGAGCAGGAGGAGGAGGAGGGGGGAGAAGGAGGACGAGGAGGACGAGGAGGAGGAGGAGGAGGAGGACGAGGAGGAGGAGGAGGAGGAGGATGCAGGAAGGAGCCCCGTTTGGGGGGCCCCCGTCCCAAGAGGCTCCCGCAAAAAGCGGCGAACGACACTGGCGCCTTCTCCCCGGCGCTGGCCGGAGGCGGCCGCGTGCCGAGAGCGGGGCGGCGGGGCCGTAAGGCCAGCGGTTGTAGGTCGGGCAGGTCCTCCTGCAGGCGGATTTTGTCGGCGGCGCGCGAGCAGGGGACGCGAGAAGGGGCGGGCCTTCTCAGAAGGCTCGAAGCCCCGCGGCCTTCTGAGAAGCTGTCGTGAGCCTGGCCCGAGGACGGGAGGGACCTCTCAGGAGGCGCGAGGGCTTCAGGGCAGTCCCGCCGCCTTCTGAGAAGGCCTTCTCCCTCTCATCTTCCCCCCTCGCTCGCCGCCGAATCTTGGAAGAGAAGCCAGAAAATAAGCAAAATGCTCAGAAACAAGCCATCATGTGCAAAAAAAGTCCCCCGACCATTTCTGGACTATTCTTGAATACTCCTGCTGTGGAAGGACGTACCCGACTCAACACTCGTCGTACCCCGACCCCCCGCCCCAATCCCCCCGTTGCATCCGCCCCGAAGGAGCCCCGAAGGAGACGCGGCGAGCGAGGGGGGAAGTGAGAAGGAGAAGGCCTTCTCAGAAGGCGGCGGGACTTCTCAGAAGCCCTCGCGCCCTTCTGAGAAGTCTTCTGCGCTTTGGGGGAAGGCTTAGAAAACTGCTCGAAAGGCCAGGGGACTTCTGAGCCTTCTGAGAAGGCCCGCCCCTTCTCACTTCCCCCCCGGGCTCCCCGCCGATCTCGGGCCATGACTCGAGTCTCCGGAGGCCGCTCGGGACGGTTCGGTCAACCTCAGAACGCTCTGGGCGTTACGCAGCTGCTGGAAAGCATTCCAAGGCTGGAGACAATAGCTGAGAACCGACGAAGACGTCCGAAAACGTTGAGGCTGAGACGCCGCGGGGTCCTTCGAGCCAGGAACCTCTGCAAGAAGGTAGTCCTCGGGGAGCATAAACAATATCAGAGATACGTCGACGTGAGGAACCCATCTAGAGGCATCCCAAATGGGGTCCGAGTAGATAGGGTCGGAAGATCGCACCGCATCACCAATGCATCGGAGAGGCATCGGCGACGTCGCCGTGAAGGAATGGGGCGCTACATCGAGCCGCATCGCTCGGACCCCATCTGAGAGGCCTAGACGATCAGCATGCGACTGTTGAAAAGACACCGGGTCTTCGGGCAAAAACAAAGGAGTGACACGATGCCAGACTCCACACGGCAGCGTTTCATGGATACCACAGTCACCGTCCTGCGGACAGGTGACACTGCAGAATGCACTCTGCATCGAAGAATGCGAGGGTATCAAAGTCGTCAAGAATCGTGCCCA